ACTTGACTGACATCCATGAAAGTCTGAACAATATGATCCCTTCTTGTGTAATTTGAATCAAAGAGCTCAAAAAATAAGGATTAAAGTTGCAGGAAATATGCGTAAAGGTCCTGTATGTACAAGTGCCGAAGTGCAAAGATGCAACACGGACTGCCATGGTTTCACGGCGATCAGAGATTTAGACACATAGACAGTCACACACATAGACCTGTATCATAGACCCAGGAACTGGTGTATATATACATATAAATACACAACTGGTGTATATATACATATTAAAAAAAACACCAAAAATTTTAAACATCATCAAATCATCCGTGCAAAAAGATCACCTCGACGAACAAGAACAAGTATGCCCGCAGCTCCTGGGCGCCCAAGGGGCGCAGTTGAACCATTTCATGAGGGGATCAACTGAAACCAACGATGGATTTTTGGTAGAAATAGGTAGAACGATTGTAAAATTCCCTATGGTATAACATGGTATAAGTATGTATATTATGTATACATATTATGTATAATTTACTGTATAACTGTTATTTTCATGGATTTTTGTCACCGCAGTGAAAGAGACAATTTTGACAACTAGATCATTTGACTATTCTGATGCCCGAGTTTCTGAGCATGATCACGAGGGAGTATGAAAGTACACTGGAGGTTCAAGAATTGTCGGAGCAGTGTGAAAGCTGGACTGATGGAAAAATGGGCGAGGCAGATTTCTCTTCCAAATTTCAAGGATGAAGAAAACAGAAACCACCATAACTATCATCCCCATCCACCCCCCAAATTAACATAGTCCCTGAGAATTGGCCGTGTTTGGAGGAAAGTAGTTGTCCAATTCCCTACCTTGCGAGGTCGCTCAAATCAAGCTCATATGATTGAAAAACATATTTGATTATACCAGTAGTACCGCACAGGGCGGTGGCGGAAGTTTCAAAAATAGGAAACCTATAGGAGAGGTTGGTTATTGTGAATCACGTATGGCAGAGCGAATCCACTAATGGACCGAAAGGTGGTTGAGGTCTCCTCTCTTTCTCTCTCTTTCTCTCTCTTTCTCTCTCTTTCTCTCTCTTTCTCTCTCGTTCTCTCTCTTTCTCTCTCTTTCTCTGACTATCAACCTACCTACCTACCGATCTATCTATGTATCTATGTATCTATCTATCTATGTATCTATCTATCGATCTATCGATCTATCGATCTATCGATCTATCGATCTATCGATCTATCGATCTATCGATCTATCTGTCTATCTATCTATCTATCTCTCTCTCTCTCTTTATCTTTCTATCTATCTATCTATCTATCCATCCATCCATCCATCCATCTATCTATCTATCTATCTATCTACTCTATCTATTCTATTCTATCTATCTTATCTATTCTACCTATTCTATCTATTCTATCTATTCTATCTATCTACCTATCTACCTATCTATCTATCTATCTACCTATCTACCTATCTTTCTATCTATCTATCTATCTATCTATCTATCTATCTATCTACCCATCCATCTATCTACCTATCTATCTACTCTATCTATTCTATTCTATCTATTTTAAATATTCTACCTATTCTATCTATTCAATCTATTCATTCTATCTATCTATCTATCTATCGATCTATCTATCTATCTAATCTAATCTAATCTAATCTAATCTAATCTAATCTAATCTAATCTAATCTAATCTATCTATCTATCTATCTATCTATCTATCTATCTATATATCTATCTATCTCATCTATCTCATCTATCTATCTATCTATCTATCTATCTATCTATCTATGTATCTATCTATCTATCTATCTATCGATGGATCGATCTATCTATTTATCTATCGATCTATCTATCTATCTATTTATCTCTGTCTGTCTGTCTGTCTATCTATCTGTCTATCTGCAAGCTTGAAAACGAAGCTCTTCTGCGAGACTTCCTCATTTTTCGAAGTTGACAACATCAAAAACGAAGCAATTCTGCGAGACTTCTTCATTTTTTGAACTGGACAACATCCAAAACGAAGCAAGTCTGCGAGACTTCTTCAATTTTTGAACTTGACAACATCAAAAACAAAGAAATTCTGCGAGACTTCCTTCAAAAATGGAAAGTTGAATGCAGAGCTGACAGCATCGTACCATTGCGTTTTGCGATTTTTCCAGTCCACCTGTCGAAAGTATTGCGCCTGCCACGAAAAAGTGATGCCAGGTCATACGAAGTGCTGCACCTGTCACGCAAAATCATCTCAGCAAACCTGAAGATCTGATGCTCCAAAATGCAACCCCTCTCAGGAAATCAGTGCCCTCACCTCCTAACAGCTCCGATGAAGATGTCTCTTGTACTGCGCCTGCCACGGAAAATGCATCTTTGCAGATCCTCTTCAAATGTCCCATGCCTGCCATCGTTTTTGGAAATGCTACAAAACCCTCACGTTTCGCTCACATTTGACAAGGTGCACCACCCCTTGCGCCTGCCACGCGAAGCGACATCTGAACGTCCAAAAGTGGTCCGAACCCCTGGGGTTTTTTGACTTGGAAATGTGCTTCGCGCCACAACGGCGTGCACTTTTTCGACATCTGAACGTCCAAAACCCCTGGTGTTTTTAACATGTTGACTTGGAAATGTGCTTCGCGCCACAACGGCGTGCACTTTTTCGACATCTCAACTTCCAAAAGTGGTCCGGAGCTGGTGTGTTTTGTACATTTTGACTTGGAAATGTGCTTCGCGCCACAAAGGCGTGCAATTTTTCATCTCTCATCTGGCCAGCTGGCTCCGCACCCGCCGCTTTAGCGAGCCTACTTTTCGACCCTCCGGAGCCACAAATCATTGGAAAAACACAATGTTTCGCGACTTTCCTACCTTTTCGCGCACCTGCATCTTCTTTCTTCTGACTCTTTCTCTTCTCTGATCTTCTCTCTTCTACTCTTCTCTTCTCTCTGACTCTTCCCATCTCTGCTTTTCATCTGTCCATATTGTCGGAAGTTTGACTTCTAAACTTCCTTCGATGAACCCGCCAATCGGATTAAATGGGTTATATTACCCATTACATTAAGTCCCATGTTAGATGGTTAGCTTGTGATTACCTCCTGGTAAGTTAACAGTTTGCTATTGAAAATGGCCATTTATATCATATAGTTCGCTGATTTACCTATATTAAACACTGTGATTTACCTATGTATTAAACACTGTGATTATCCACAAAAATCCACCATTCAGACTCCATCCTCCTGTAGCCGCATCATCATCTGAACCAATGGAGATTCATCGCACGGAGAGCCTGGGAACGACATGCGGAAATAGGATGGAAAGGATGTAGTGGAATCATATGGTACCCCCGAACAACGAAAGATAGAAAAGCTCTCTAGTATTCTTTAGTAGTTTACCGTTTGCCATCGTTTACCGTATAGTTTAATTATTATAATCAGGATTAGCTGATTAGCTCTAGAAGGGGGTTATATCACTGTTCTCTTTTAAGGGATTGCTATAAAGAAACGAGCAAGTTGCCAGAGTGGCCATCAAGGACCCATGTCCCGTCCACATAGGTATCTTCTTTGCTGAGCAACACAGCTTTCTTGACCAATGAACACGTAAAACGAGCTTGTCAAAAATACCAAGAACTTCCGGTAAAGATAGGTAAAGTACCAGGATGTACCAGGTAAAGTACCAATATTATGGGTAAATCAAAGGTCTGCGGAAAGATCTGAGATGCCTCCCAGTGCTGCGTCATAAAGTCGCTCAGCCTGGGGGGACGATATGGTGAATTGGACTTCCCAGGGGTGGTAGGGATGGAATCTGACGGAGCATCACTGGTTGGCACGACATGACGGAGCCTCCATACGACGTCTGGCAGAGGACATGGCAGTCGCTACATCTTTCCATGAGAACTTGCATATGGCAGCAGAACAAAAATCAACTTCTCTCTGTTGTTGCGGGATGATTGGAAGGGCAAGACAGCTAGGAATGCACCAGTGAAGTCTGTTTTGGAGCAGTGGAAGGGGTGCTTTGGCTTGGGATGTTTCTGGTCTTTGTGCCTTTGGGGCCACAGCGCGTTACATGAGCATGATATGATCTGCTGGTCCGCAGACAGTAGTTTCTACACATTTGGATGGTGTTTCGACTTTTTGTATGTTGGTCCTTCCGGGGTGTGCTTCTAGTCACTTGCTGAGCATGCTGTTGCGAGCCTGCGAGCCCACTGGCAACATGTTCCAACTCCCAGTTGGGTACTAGAACTCCGAAAATTTGGGAAATGCAGAGAGCGAAATTGCAGCACCTTACAAACCTGATGGAAACTCAAGGCAATGCAAGTCCCAATGAATATTTGAAACAGATCCACTTCGATTGACTTTGTTTGTTTCTTTAATGGCCCTAAGATGCAAGTTTGAGCCCTTATCCTCGCAGCTCTACCCCCACCTGCAACAAAGCTAAATGAAAGACATGCCATTTACGGCATTTCGCACCAAGGAAATCCACTGTTTAAAAGAATGGTATGAGAAAGGATACTAAGAAGAACTCTGCCAGACCTTGGCATAGCTGGTACTTCTGGATTCTCATCCATAAGTATTGACTCAAGATGACTTGGCACTTGAGAATCCTCGAATCACAAAGCCATACAAAGCCTACCAAAGGGCTGCCATTTTGCCATCCGAATCAGGCTTTGCTGATGCTAAAGGGAACTTAAAAAGTTGATGCTTCACCGATCTTCACCGGCAGTCAGACTCTACAACATACGGTGCTAGGTGCGTTGCAGAAACCAGTGATGGAGTCAACAATTTCCACGGGTTTGTTGATGAATATTCCAAATGTTTGAGTCCAAGGCTGCTTACCCACTGCTTCTTCATTTTCATTGTCAACTGTGTTTATCCGCGGTCTGTATCATCATTTGGCAGGAACCTGCTCTGGCGAAACTTGCACAATTCACTCCACTTGAAGAGCACCTTGACTCTCAATCTACCCATAAATGTAGGTAAATACAAATGACAATTGCAAAATGTCGGGCAAAAATACCAACTGGTCATCATTTGCATGGGTAAATTGGAACGTCCAGGTAGTGACGCCTTCTCCAAACCTCGCATCTTCCGAATGTTCACGTCCTCGGCTGTTGCTGTATGTCACATCCAAGTTATCGACCATCTGGTTTTACCGTATTTTTGAAGTGTCTCCATATTTTTTTGAAATGGCCGTCAAAATCTTGACATGACTTTCCTCACAAACATGTTTTTTTAATTTATTCCCACCTGAAATTGCATGTTTGCTTGCCACAAGGTATCACGAGGTAGAAGGTTTGCTCCCGCTTCTATGTTGAGGAAATCTTGGACGCGTACCTGGCGTACCTATGATCCCTGTAGTAGATGTAGACCCTGTTCACTACCCTTCACAAAGGCGCAAAGTTCTTCTAATCTCTGATAATTCACATCAACAAACTGGTATGTAGATGGATGTTCATCCCGACTTAAATTTATTGCAAAACCAGCGGTGGTATGACCACCCCAATGTCTGCGAAATGATGAAAACCACACTAACCTCAATCCTGGATGCTCCTGGCTGATTCATGAAGGGGGCCCCTTCAAAACTAAAAACCTACGCAGCCAAAATTCAATTTCTGGCATTGCAAAACACATTTTGCTGGTTTGATATCCCACCTCTATCTCATTATCTCCATGGTATTCCGACCAACTGCCACCATCCAAAACATACCGGTGCAAATCCAAGATGTCTGGCGCCAATCCAAGATAATCCAAGATGTCTGGCGCCAACCCAAGATACTCCAACCCATTTCTGTTGAAATACACATTTCTGGTGCTATCATGTGCTATCCATATCCATGTCTGGTGCGAAACGAGTTGCAGAGGTTGGCATTTTTCCATTCCATGAAGGCCTCCATCTCCGCCACGGCCGCCGGGCTCAGCTTGCGCCCAAAGATCTGAGTAGCGCAGCGGGGTGGTAACGTGGAATGAGGTATCGGATCCTGGAAAAACACCCAAAATAGCAATAAAACCATGGTTTCTACCTATAGGAATTGGCAAAAATAGAAAAACAAAGAGGAAGTACGAGTATAAAGCCAATCAGGATCGTTTATGGGATTTGTTGTAGGATATATATATATATATACATATACAATTGGGAATCTCTTAAACCAACAACTTCATTAACGATTTTCGTCCCAAATGCTTCTACCTTTCCCATCTTTTTGATGCTATTGGGGTCAAGGTCGACGATTGAGTGCTCAGTTTGGGATGTAGAATGATGTACAGTAGAAGCTACGGATGTTTGCACCTCACATGCAATTGCTGCAAGGGTGGTCTGTTGGTGGTGTGGTAGTTGGTGGTATACTTAGTTTGGCATATGTTGGAAAGGACTCAACATATATACCCTCTGGTAAGCAAACAGTTTGCTATTGAAAATGGCCATAGAAATAGTTGATTTACCCCATAGTTATGTAAACGTTTACCAAAGGGTAACTAGGTTTTCCCTTAATGGATTTTGAGGATCCAGAACTGAAAATCTGACCACTTTCGGCTCCGCCGGTCTGCCTCGTGGGCCACTTTCAGCTGATGCAAAATCAAAAATCCCTCTGGCATGTGCATGAGGTACTTTTCCTGGGCCATTACAGTGGTACCCTCAGGTAAACCTTTAAATAGCTATGAAAATTAACCTTTTTGATGGGAAAATCAACCATAATGGGCCATAATGGGCAATTTTAAATAGCTGTGTTAGTTTACCAGAGGGTAAGGCTGTGGGGTTGGCCAGCATTAGTGCTCCATTCACAAGTGATATTGGGAAAAACGGAAGGTATAACTATGGATCTAGTGGCCCATAAATGGGGTATAATCCAATGGTATCTGATTTTTCTTAGATCGATAACAGGTATTGATAGTGAAGTGAAGGTCGCTATCAGCCATCGAGGCCGTGTAGAAGACCTGGTCATCATTTTTGACCGAGAAATATGTGTCTTATAGTTTTTTTTCCCTTGGGCACCGTTCACCCACAACCCGCAACTAACTCGGCAAAACCCTTTTCTTGTCCTGGTCAAAGACTGACCCCAATTTCCATTCATAGTTTATGAATGGTTAAATCCCGATGAATGGGATGGTCAAATCCCATTCAAATCCCAGGGTCGCCGAATCGGTTGATTAAATCCAATGAATAATATCCCCGTTCGATTAGGTGAGGCCCCGAAACGATAGCTAAGTTCACGCAAACAACTTGGTGAAAATGTTTGGGTGTGTGGTGGATATAACTATACATCATCGGGTTTACAAACCAACTGGGAGTCGCTTGAAATGGGGGATCCCCAGTCCTCACCATAAGTTTCAATACTGTACTATTTTCTTGTCATCCGTGACTTGGATGATTATTTGGGGGCAGCCCCCTGACTAAACCTCAAACTATCGCCATGAAAACGTTTGGGTTTATGGAGGTTTATGGGGGATATAACATGAATCAACTATACTATACAGCAGGCACAACCAGCAGCAAGCAGAAAACAGCAGAACCCAGCAGCACCATGCAGAACCCAGCAGCACCATGCAGAACCCAGCAGCAGCAGCAGCAGCAGCAGCGGCAGCAGCGGCAGCAGCGGCAGCAGCGGCAGCGGCAGCGGCAGCAGCAGCAGCAGCAGCATGCAGAAACCAGCAGCAGCAGCAGCAGCAGGAAGAACCCAACAAGAGTAAGAACGGTACTGCCGAAGCACTAGTTCACAACCCGAACGCGGTGTCTGGCATTTAGTATTGAACTATAGGACGGTAAAACGCCATGTTTGACATACAAAGACCACGCAATTTAAGGAAAACCGGTAATGATTGCAACTGACAAGATTCTTGCGATATATATGTTTTCCACCAACTGAACGCAAGAGCGACTTTCGTGCGACTTCCCCAGCTCTACAACTGAGTTGGTGCGACTAAGGGGTTTGGGAGTACTTGGGGTTTATACACCATGAAAATCTCGTCCCAGATTCACAGCACCATCGCATCTCCCAGGGCCCTGCGCGCACAAAACAAAAGGGCAGAGAGCCCAAGCAGAGGATGCTGAGAGCCACTGGGCGCCTCAAAGCATCGGATCCAGAGGGGTCCTTCATGTGTAATATGCAATGTATACCCTCTGGTGAACTAACATAGCAATGGAAAATCACCATTCTTAATGGGAAAATCCACTATAAATAGCCATTTTCCATTGCTATGTTAGTTCACCAGAGGGTATCTATTAATTATTAATATTGTACATTTTGTACATACACGTATATATATATATATACATATTTACATTAACAGGTACCATATGTTAAGAACATATGGCAATGAACAAATCCCTCCCCATCTGTAACATGGGAAATTCCTCCTGAAAATGGTTCATGTGCCAGGTTTTAGAAGCGAACTACGTGAAACACAAACATGCCATGGGACGACAAGAAAAGAGAAATAACAAGAAACCCTTTGGTTGAACAAAATAGTCGTAATTATCAAGCATCAACATCATAAAGCAAGCAAAATAAGTCTTTTAGGCAAGAAATGCAGGAGTAAAGCTGCAAAGGCTTGCAAAAACGAGGGACTTTGACATACTTTGACTAGGAATTAAGAAACACGCGGAATCGTGGAATAGACCAGCCCAATAGCTAGCTCGGGTAATTTGTCTGGGCAACTAGACGTGGAAAAGCTGAGAAAATGTTGGCCGCGGTGAAAGGCACGCATTCTTCTTATCATAGATAATATCTTTGGTGTACAGTATATATGTTGATACCAGTAGTATCTATAGTATCTATAGTATGTGTGGTATAGCCAGACACTCACATTCTTAGCAACCTGGGCAAGACGAGGACTTCCCATGCGAGTAGACCCAACAAGAAACCTAGGGATAATCTTCATGCACCCCATTTTGGACAAGTCATCAGAATTGCTACCAAAGTTTACCACATTCTATGAACCATGGTCAAAACATGGTCTAGTATTGCCATCCCCCCATCTGAAATGGAATTCCAAGTCCAAGTATTGTGGGTATATCGAATAATATTACTGCATATTACTGTAACATATATTGACCCCTAGGGATGGGTGATGACTGTCCCTTTTGTGAGAAACTATGAGAAAATATTTGTTTTTGCCCATGGCACAATGCGGTAACCCACAAATAAACCATCCCAAGTATTACCCTAAATGAGTGGTTTCAATAGAACAAAAACATCCCTAAACGGTAGGCTCATGATTATGTGTATATATATCCTGGATATTCATTGGTTACAAATTTCTTTCCAGGGCAGATTTTGGTTTGATTTCTGTCCATTTTTTGTAAATTTGACCATTTCAAAATAAAATTACCATTTCAAGAACAAACTTACCACTTCATGTTTTCATTTTTAAGTCATGTTGAGTCTGCCCGCGTATTTCCGCCCTTTTCCCGGGTATTTCCGCCCTTTTCCCGGGAATTTCCGCCCAGAAAAATCGACAAATTTTCACGCAAAGTAGAGCAAAATCAGCCCAGAAGGTACGAAATCCAAAATTGACCACAGGAGTCAAAAAATGACAATTTCCAGCTCCTTCACAAGAAATCCGCCCTAAGGGCAAGATATATATATATATATGTATATATGTCAAACATATCTCTGTGTTTGTTGGCTAAACTGCGACTAAAACCCCCACTTTGTTTGAATAACCCCATCTCCCGTTCATGTTAGTTACACCCCACATTGGTTCCAAATATCTGGTTCCCTCACCCATTACACCCTTGTTTCTGGGGGGTGCTTGATATGAGCGGAAAGGGATTACCTACTATTATGAATTATCATTCAATAATCATTCAGTCATAAATGTCCAATGCTTAGATCCGATACTTTACTATTGGATCAAACATTGATATGTGTATATTGTATTCAACCATTGTACTATAAATATACATATTCAATGGTACATCAATATCAACCATAGATACTAAATCAACCTATAATAATCTATATTGGTTAGTCTACATCAATCTAAATCAATTTATATGAATCTATATTCTATAATTTATAGATATATGATATATGATATACTGTATAGTAGATATAACCAGTGACTTGCTGACTGCGGAGGTACCCCCCTCGACCAAGGCTCAAATACCAGGGGCCTTTCCAGAGACTGGTCACCGTCCAGTTCCAGGCCAGAAACCCCAAATCCTGGCGTGACAGGGGATCCTCGGGCTACCCCAGAGAAATCACTGGACTAACAGTGACTAATCCTACTAACAGTTCTTGGAACTGGTTTCATTAAGCTTCTTACAATGTCTTACAAACTGGGCTGAGCCACCAAGTAAAGAACCATTTTGAAGGTGAAACAGTGAAACTGCTGCGATATTCACCCCGTTTGAGAAATAACTGGACCAATCCTCAGTTGTCATTGGGCTGACTTCTGAGCGGGGTCCCAAAAAAAACTGGCAACTTTCTGCGAAATTGGAAC